TCTCAGTGGCTGGTTCAGCTTGCATGGGGACACTCCACTCTATTTGATGTGATGTCTCTTTTTCCACAAGAGCCTATGTAGACAGCTGAATTCTAAGAGATTAATGGAATCAGTAGAAAATACTTTGTACTCATCTACAGTACCTCTAGTGCTTTTGTCTAGTACTTATTGCTGCTTTAAGGCAAGTAAGCAGCATTTCCCTTCTTTAGCTAAGTAGTAGTAATTAGTAATGCTAATATGTGTGCTTGGTAATATAGGAAAATATTTTTTAAATAATATGGTACATATCCTAAAATTTATGTTTCTGTAGGGGAAACAGTATGCATATGACTTTAAGGACTTAACACACTTTAGGGTTGGAGAGAGCTCAGCAGTCTTAAGTGCCAGCCTGGCAAGTGCAAGGTCCCAAGTTCGATCCCTGGTACCACATGCTGTGTCAGCCCCAACCCCAGACCTCGGATGTGGTAGCACATGCCTGTAATCCCAGCACTAATGGAGGCTGAGACAGGAGGATTGCTACAAGTCAGAACTCCTAGTGAGACCCTGTTTCCAAAAAAACTCACTTTTTTTTTTGCGCATTTTTATGTATTTATTTATTGGACACAGGGTCTTACTAAGCACCAGGCCCAGCAGGTCTTACTAAGCACTTGCCAGGCAGGCACTTAAACTGCTAATCTATCTCCCCAGCCCAAGAATGGACTCACGGATATAGAAAAAAAGTTTATAGGAGTGGGGACTTGAAAGTATGTTGCAGTGGAACTCTATTCAACAGGTTTTTTTGTTTGTTTGTTTTTAATTTTACGTATTTGGTATAGGGTCTCACCACACAGCTCAGATTCTTAGTGATCTTCCTGTTTTAGCTTCCCCTGAGCTGGGATTGCAGACTTGTGCCACCACGCCTGGTCTCAGTGGCCAGCTCGGCACACCCGGGACAGGGCTGGCACTGCATGTGGTTGGGGGGAGGTTGAACCCAAGTCCTTGTGCTTGCCAGGCAAGCGCTTAGACCATTTGGGGGCAACCTGAGATCAACCTATGGGGTTACAAGTTGAAGAGTTTGACCACAACTGGGCTTTTAGAAATTCAAGGCACATTGGGGGTGTGATTTTACAAGTACCATTAATTGTAACTTTTCTAAAATTCTTAGCACAAGTAGAATAATAGAGGTATTCTTTAGAGGGCTATGAATGAATACTTGATGGTTCTAGTTATCTTATCTTCATGTTTTTATCACTTTCCTGGGCAGAAAGATCCCACCAATTTAATGTGGGACCCTTGTTTGTCAGACTTGTGTACCCTAGCCATGACCATTGTATCCCCATCTTGGGGCCTATTTTGGTTGGTTGATTGGGTTTTTTTGTTGTTGCTTTTTTTATCTCAGGCTTTATCTTTTCCTTCACTGGATCATCGTGACTTCCTCTTGGGATCTGTCTTTTCCCTAACTGCCTGTTCTGCCTTCAAAGAAATGCTAGAAAAGAAAAGCCAATAGAGGCTTAAAATTTTAGAATTCATTCCTCTGAGTGGATGAATGCTGACATGCTCTGTCTATAACATTTTTATATTATTGTCCTTCCTCTGAAAGAATTTAAGTATGGCAAAGTTAATATTGTTGAATTTAGGTGGTGACTATGTGGGAAGTCATTGTGTTTGTTCTTTAATCTTTATATATGTGATACGAGGTAAGTCTATCAAACTATCAGTATGGATTGAATATTCTATGGGAATTTTTAAAAGCCTTTTTGCATTTCATTAGATTTTATTTGATGTTAGTATTGCAACTTTCTCATTAGTAATTGGACTATTTTTTTATATTTTACTAAATTTTTAAAAATACGGTTTTGATTCTTGCTGATTTGACAGGAAAAACAGCACAGAATATAAAGATAGTATTACTTTCCTTCCCAAATGTATTTCCTCATCTTTCCCAGCCTGTGGTAACAGGCTGATGAATGTTTTTCCATATTTGCATTGAGCTTGCATTACTGAATTCAGGCTTGTAACATATTTCCTGCCATGCTACCAACCTTGGAGAAGTACTTTGTTTGGGGTAGTCTATTCTCTTATGTCTTTTTAGAGAACCTTTTTTTAAGGAAACAATGCCTGTTCACATTTGACATGGTTGTTTCAAACTTTTCTTGCCATATGGTATGTATAGTTCTATAAATTCTTTATCTTTTTGTGCAGTGGCTTACCATTTTGGTATCATTGGTTCTTCTAATTGTTTGACAGTTAATTTCCACAGAATGTTGATTTTAGCTATTCTAAGATCAAGGTCATTTTTTCTCATAATACCATTTGTCAGCTTTCAGTGTCTATTTAGTGGTTTTACATTTTATTTTTTATTTTTAATTGATGATTCTTTATTTCTTAGATTTTAGATTATTTCCATTATATATCGAAGTTTGCTTTGAAAAATTATTAGGCATGAAAAATGTCACAAGTAGTAGTGATAGCTTTCATGCTGTTTATCCAAGTTCTCCAAAAGTTAACATTGTACTTTATTATTTTCTAAAATTAAGACATTCATATTGGTATAAAAATATAATCCCAGCTATTTTCAAAAATTTTTCTCCTTTGTTTTTGTTAAACTTTATTTGTATGTTTTGCTATTTACACAGTTTTTTAGTATAATGAAAGTGTTTAAACCTATGACCGTTCCTGTAAGTACAGTGTTAGTCATTTGGCATTGTGTTTCAGATTTTGTCTCATAATTATTTTTATACTGGATATAGTTTTTAAGTTATCTGTTCTATTTCTGTTTGAGAATTCATTGAAATTTACTTTGTTTTTACAAATGCTCCATGAATGTTTATATAGAAATTATTTTGTATCTAGTTACAACCTTTGGTATATATTTGTTCTCGCAACCTTGGAATTTTATACCCATTCTCTATGGATTTATTTAAAGGGACAAGTTCAATACTAATATGTTTCTACACATATTTTTTATATTTTTGATCTTATAGGTGATATGTCAGATTTTGAGTTATAATGGTCTTAGAAATTATAATCTTGGTGTTTTGCCCATAAATGTTTTTAATTAAATCTGTAACATTAAACAGTTTTTGGCAATCATTTTGCAGTTTAGTACATTTTGCCTTGAATTCTGTGTTGACTGGATTTGGTACTCACTTTTTTTTTTATTCAGTGACTTCCATTTGCAAGTTCTTTATTGCAGTTCATCTTCTGAAAGGTATATTGATTCTTCAGGTTTTTAATGGGACCCACAGGGGAATTGTGTAGATATGCCTGTATTTTTATTTCCTTTTATCTGTATTTTATTTTGTCAAATTATACTGTTGACTCATTAGTTTATATTTTAATACTTTATTCCCCAGAAAAATTGTCATCTTTCAGGGAAACCACTATAGACTGACTTTTCACTTAATTCTCGTATCGAGTCTGACACAGTATGCCTGGCTTACAACTAATACTTAGTGACTTTACATAGGATAATCAGAATTTGAGCACCATTAGAATACTTAGCACTTCCCTTATGAAGTGTATCTCAGGTCTTTGCTCCAATGCAAGTCAAAACAGTGAATAAGAGAGAGCCTATCAAATGAAACATAGTGAACAAAGATATGTTTTGTCTTAGGAAACAATGACATTCAAGGATGTGGCCATGGACTTTACACCAGAGGAGTGGGGGAAGCTGGATCCTGTGCAAAGGGATGTGATGCTGGAGAACTATAGGAACCTAGTCTCTCTTTGTAAGAATATATGATTGCAACTGTGAAATATAATTACTCCATTGAAAATGAAGTAGCTTAACAATTCTTCAGTTTTACATTCAGAGGTCATAAATTATTAATTCATTTGCATCTAAAGAAAAATCTATTTCTTGTTTGGTGTTAGGGTTGAACCTGCAACCTTGCATATACTAAGCATAAACTACTGCTGAACTCCATTTCTTGCTGAGGAAAATCTGGGTGTGTTCTAGGTTCTTGATGAAATGTTTGTGGTTGCTGTGTAATAAGACTCAGTGACAACCTGATTCATACCAGTTTAAGAAGAAAAAAGTCTCCACTGAGGGAATCAAATATATTATCAGGTCCTTAATTAAATTAATTTTAATTAGTTGATTTGGCTTGCATGAGCTTTATTCTTCTCTCTCTTCTCTTCCCTTTCCTTCTTTTTTCTTTTGAGGCAAGGTCTAGCTAAGTTGCTGAAGCTAGCATGATCTTATGATTTTCCTGCCTCAGACTCTTGATTAGTTGGGATGACAGGATAATGTATCATGCTTAGCTGAGCTTTATTCTTAGGATTGCCCTGTGTGGCAGAGATATCCACTGATAGTTACATTATTTATCCAGTTAGAAAGCTAAGCAACAAGAATGATTCATTTAGAAGTACTCATAGAGCCATAGACAAAGTGAGTATTGTCTGACCTGTTCTGGATCTTGTGTTCACCCCTGTGTGTGTATAGACGTATGTATGTGTATATTTGTAGAGGGATAGAAGGGACTATTTTAGCCTCTCCCAAATCTCATGTGATAAATCTCTTAACATTATTTCTAGTACCTGAAAAAGAATAAAGAGAAACCTTTAGAAGACAGAAACTATAGTTACCATAGTGACTATCTTGTGGTCCAGCTGAGGGCCAATTTTTTTTCCATCTTTCATATGGTTAGGACTAAGATGTGAAGTCATTCAAAAATTTCTACACATATTAAGGAAATTAAGAGGTATTTTCTGTTTGACAGACAAAAACATTTGTCTTTACAAACACAGTTTAACTGTTTATCAGGCTTAGATCCTGCTGCATATATATAAAGATCCATTCCCTCCCACCCATGCCAGATCTTCCTGTAATACCTTGTCTGTAGGTGCAGAGGGTGGGATTATACTCATTGTAGATCTTTGTGACCATTATAATAGCTAAGTTCCATTTCTTTTGTTTTCTTTCTTTACTTTTTTCCAAAAAGGGCTTCCAGTTTCCAAACCTGAGAACTACAATTTGGACAATGGAAAGGAACCATTGAAGTGTGAGAGAAAAGCCCCTAAACTCAGGTACTCAGGTGAGTCAGGTAGATGACAATCTTTAGAAATGTCCAGCAAGACAGTTAATGAGTGTTATTTTTCAGTCCTAATAAAGAATTTTAAACGTGCCAGCCCTGTCCCCAGGGCATACTCAGACTGAGATTGAGACTGGATATGGTGACACATGCCTATAATCCCAGCACTTGGAAGGCTGAAAACCGGAGAAGCACTATGACTCAGATCTATGTAGTGAGACCCTGGAGACTCTGTACTAAATACATTTACAAAAAAGAATTTTAGAAGTGCCTATTGCCTTTGTTTTAAAAATATTTTAAATTCTAAAATATTTTAATACATAAATCCAGAAATCGCATGTATCCATTACCAAGATTAAATACTAGCTATTATTTTATTTTGTGTCTTTTCTTTTTTTTTCCTCATTTTGCAATATAAAATACATAAAAGCATCATAACTGTAGTATTCTGTGAATTTTCACAAATGAAAACACACTCATGTAACTTGTGCCCAGATCAAGAAAACAACTTTGCCAACACCTCTCTAAGTAGGCTCATATCCAGACTCTGTCACGTTCCTCCTCCAAAGGATAACCTTATCCTGCTTGTAACAACATAGTTTAACTTTGGACTGTTCTTAAATGATACTGTATATATTCTTGTGTCTAGCTTCCTTCACTGAACATTTAACTGTAAGATATATACATGATATAGTATGACATATTGTAGTTCATTCTCGTTGTTTAGTCTGCTTACATTAGTGTTGTAGTTTATCTTTTTTTTTTGGCAGCTGGCCCAGCCTGCCCTGGGGGTAGGGCTGGCATGATATGTGGCGTCAGGGATCAAGCCGCAGTTCCTGCGCTTTGCCTAAGCAGGCACTTTAGACCACTGAGCTATTTTGCTGGCCCCTAGTTTATCTGTTTTCCTGAAAATAAGCATATGTATAGTTTCCAGCTTTTGTTTATGTGAATAATGCTGCTCTGTATATTCTTTCACTCGTCTTTTCATGAACACATATATGAATTTCTGTTGGATATATACATGCAGGTACAGTTGTTGCGCCATAGGTTAGGTGCATATTTATTTTTGGTAGAAATTGCCAAAGAGGTTCTCAAGGTTATCATACCACTTATATTACTGCTAGCAGAGGATGTGAATTCTAGATGTTCACGAGCTTGTCAATGCTTAATATTACCTAACTGCATTGTAGCCATTCTTAAGGATTTTTTTTTTTACTTCTTATAAAAGAAAAAATATTAGAGATTTAAAGTCTTTTCATTGTAAGTGCTATATCTCAAAAATGGTGTGAATCATTGCATGTGTATATGTATGTATACATACACATATGTACATAGAACAATATGTATATTGTATAGATGTGTACATAAATATATGTATATATGTTTTATTATCAAGTTTTTTAAATCTGATTTTTAAAACAACATTAGAGCCAGCCAGATATCTCAGCAGACTAAAGCTCCTGCTTAGGCAGAGTGCAGCGGCCAGGGTTCAATCCCCAATATGCCATGCAACAGTTGAGACTGAACTTGGTGGTGGGCGCCCGTAATCCCAGTGCTTAGGAGGCTGAAAACAGGAGAATCACTACAAGTCTGATCTATGTAGGGAGACCCTATAGACCCTGTAGACCTTGTACTAAAATACATAGAAAACCCAAAAACTTAACATTGTGTTTTATGTCTATAATAATATATAATGACATGTTTATTTTAGCTATTGTAGAATAGGTGCATTGTGAGTAAAATTAACCTTTCTTTGCTAGTAGTACTAGAGTAGCAGTGATCATCTCGGCATTGACTAATGTTCATGTTGAGAACTGGGGTTAATTAAGGTGGATAACCTGAGGAATAACTCATTCTTAAAGTACTGCATATTAGTTTTACTAAGAATTATCAAAGTCCTGCCATCTATCCTAGTTTATACTTGATGTTTTCAGATTTGTTAATTTTGTTAATCTGGTAAATACAAAATGTTTCACACTTTAAATTTTCATTTATCTGAAGGGTACATATGGGTGAGTTCAAGCATTTTGTGTTGGTTCATATTTTTCTCATTGTGAATTATCTATTGATGCTCTGGCCAAATTTAAAAATTGGTCTGAGTTTTACCTCATATTACACAGATATTTGTTATGTAAGTCATATATTCAAAGCTTTTTAGGTTAATGCCCTTTAGGGTCAAGCACTCTTTTGGTTGAACTGTCGAACAGTGAGGCATGGCCTTTTTGACGCTTGAACATGTGAATTTTTTGGCACTGAAGCACATGTGGATACTGCCACTATACACCATGGTATGTCATTTTGTGTTACTTTGAGGATAAAAGCCAATAAACCACTTCAATAGCTGTCCCTCTCAGATGAACAAAGTTATAGATCAGTGATAGCAAACCTTTTAGAGCTTTCAGTAACTGCCAGTCAGCTGTGGCACACATGCCATAGGCTCACCATGACTGATGTACTGTCAGACCACTACTGAGGCAAATTATTTCCAATTACAGCCCAAGATCATTTGTTGTGTCAGTAGATGGTGGGTAAAAAAATTAAATTAAATTAAATTAAAAAATATTTGTTAGTGTAGGATTCCCCTTGAGATCCAGCTTTTAGTTCCGTGGAAAATGATTGCTCTATGGACTACAGAAGCAGCACTGGACCTTGGAGGCCCTAATAGCTGAACAATACTTGTTCACACAGCCCTAGAGCAGTGATGTAGAACCTATTTCCTATGTGTCCCAGCTAGCTATCCGTTGAAAGCTCTAGAAGGCTTGCTGATGCTGCTGTAGTTTGCTTTGTGTCCCAAAACTTGGACCCTAATGTAGAGCCAGGTCCTGAACTTAGTGACTGGATTTATCATGTGCTGCTCTTTTGAGGTTTCCTTTGTTCAGTTAAATTTCCCTCTGAGTTTTCATAGGTTCTTTTGGTTCCGAAAACTGTGTGACTTAAGTTCTTTCCTTAGAGCAGAGTTGTCACCATGGCCATTCTGGGGTGGGACAGAAAGGAAAGGTAATAGGGATGGAAATCTATTGAATTTAGGTGTTTTTTTCTTTTTCTTTTTTCTTCTTCTTTTTTTTTTTTGTACTGGGGATTGAACTCAGGACCCTGTACTTGCCTGGCAGGCACTTATTCTACTGAGCTATCTCCCCAGCCCCCTTCTTTTTATTTCATTGGAGGCTTCTGTTAGACAAGGGTAATCCTTTATGGCATGCTTTTACTGATGTACTGGTTTTACTCTCTAGCTAGTCGGTTTTGATAACTTGCTATCCAGTGGGACCAGTCTTCCCAAGACTTGAGGTGGTGGTCTGTAGGGGAATTAGACCATTTTACCTATAAGCTGGACTTAAGGGCGCTTTTCCATCATTTAACTTATTATCATAGTTGCACCTCTTGTGGATTTTAGGACTCAGAAGTAATAAGGTTTGGTGAGATTAGTGGTAAATGAGGCTAAAGTTTTTCCCATGATTAAATGTAAAAAGTTTGTCAAATTTTGAGCTTGGATTTCTTAAACAATAAGGATGAGCCCTGGTTTGGTTTTGTTTTTAAGTAGACTTCTCAGGTGAGAAGAATGCTTTTTTAAAAAAGAGGCTCACAGATCTGTTTGATTCCTCAGCTAAGGACTTGTGCATCAAAGGAGAAAACTTTCCTAAAACTGCTTTACGACTTACATGTTATACTCTAGCTGTGTTCAATTCAGTGGGTCTATGTAGATAGCAAGGCTGCAGCTAAAGCTAAACATTGCATTCTGTGTTCTGGCTCTTACCTCCTGGAGTTGACACTTTACAGTGGAGTCTTTGTTAGTTTGGACTTTGTAGAAACCGTATTTTACCCCTTTCAGATACTTCAAGTTTCTGACTACATTATATGTCAGTATTGTAACGGATAATGTTTTGCAGGGTTTATAGTTCATAAAGAATCAGAGTTGTGGAGAAGAGAAAGAATAACAGTATCTCAATGAGTTTTTTAATACAAGCTTATGTTTTATCCCTGGTTAATCTGGAATAGATTATTAGACATTTATAGAAAAAGTAAAGCACCATGTTGGAAAACTACATAATATACAGGTTGCTCCTTCTGATAGTTTTCCTTTGGGAAGCAAGACATTTCAATAATAATCATGGTTTTCCTTTTTGCCTTTGGGTATTTCTCTATGCAAATAATTCTGCTGATCAGCGTTATGAACCTTTCATAGTTTGCAAAACCAGTAACAAGATGCTCCTTTATGGTCAAGTAATTACACACAGTACTCATGATTTTTTAATAGGCACACAATCTGTCATGGCAGTTTCTGAGATTAAGCCTTCTTGGTCCTACCCTTTTAACCATTTACTCCAATTATGTAGTTTTTTGGTGGTGATTTTTTTTTCCTCCGTTTTTCTTTTTTGGTACCAAGAATTAAACTCAGGACCTTGTACTTGCCAAGAGGCAGGCATTGTCCTGCTGAGCTACATCCCTGGCCCTCAGTCCAATTATTTAAATATAAAATGACCAAAGATTGTGTATTTTTATTTTGTTAATTTTTATAACAGGAAATATAAAAATGACAATTTTATCAGATTTATTCAATAAAAGAATTGACTTATTGACATGCTTCGTACTGCCCAGGCAGTACTTGGTAACAAGTTTTTGTTTGTTTGTTTTTGCGGTACTGGGGATTGAACTCAGGGCCTTGTGCTTGCCAGGCAAGCGCTTTTTCTACTGAGCGATCTCTCTGGCCCAGTACTTGGGATAGTACCTAAACATGCTGCACAGGCAACACTTGGGGCAAACTGCTAAGTGGTTCCAGTTGTGTGACCACTGTTGTGAGGAAGTAGTGTAACTTCCTCGGTCATTTCAAGCTCTAACCAACACATTTAAATTCTGTAGAAAATAATGTAAGTAGCATAGTACTACATATTCAGAGAAAGTGTGCAGAGTTGTTATTTCAAAGGAATTCTTATGTTTGATCTAAGAGTGACTGGCATGCCGTGTTTCCATAGCTTAGCAGATAGAATTAATCATGGGAAGATTCACTAAGATAAACCAAGGGGGCTACTTCAGGCCAAAGAAGTGTGAATGTGTCTGTTTCATTAGTTCACTGACTTGTTGAGGATTAATTGTTGTCTTATAATGTTACTAAATAAACTTAACATCCTAGTTGGTATCAGCTAAACAGAAAAACATCTTTAACTGCTTATGCTTTTATGTTTTAAGTCTACATAGTGCTTTTAATTGCTGTTAAAGGATATATATATATATATCTCATATGGGTATAATTGCTACTTTAATAAGTGATATGAACGAAGAACTCAACATGGAAATCTTTGTGTCCATCAGCTGGAATTTTTTTTGACCATTTGAATGAAAATGGTGCATCTCAGTTTCATAGCAATTAAAACAACTTACTTGGTTAATGGTGAACTTCATCGTATAAATCATCTCCCTTGGGGGATGATATCGCAAGTAGGTTAATTAAGAACAATGCTCCTTCTTTAGGGGGAAGACAGGGAATAAATTACCTTTCAGCCAGAGGGGCCCTTCTAATTTCTACCCGAAGGAAGAGTGGAAACAAAAGCATGGACCTTGGGTCTGAAGGTCTCTTAAGTTTTCTGAGTAAATTCCCTTAGAACAGTTCAGTACAAAGTGAAAGAGATAAAAAATGTGTATTCTTAATATACCTCTACTACTTTCAGGTCTGATACAGTTATGCCTTGTTATAGCTGTATTTACTTACTTGGAGAAGTACAAAACTTTGGGGCATGGTGTTTCAAAAATATATTGATTTATTAAAAGCTAAAAAAAAAATTGGTCTGTTCACATTTTTGTCTTGATTTTTCTGAAGGTATTTGTATATTTTAAATTCTATTACATGACAGGCAGCATTGCAAATCATTGAGAGAAAAGTTTCATCTGATCTTGTCATAATTTTTACTTTATGACATCTTTTATGATGTCTTGAATTTTTAAAATTTTGATATCAGATTCTTTGAATTTTCTAATATTTCATTTCTGTTAATTATTTTAACCCATTATCGGAAACATAACCTGTATTTTATTTACAAACGTTCAACTTTTGTGTTACATGTATTTTTGTATATGGTGTGAAATTTCTTTTTCCATCTTTACAGTGTATAATCAAGTATTATTTATTGCACAGTCTTTTGTCATGTATTTGTAATGCTACGTTTGTAGTACATCGAATTCCCTTATATACTTAGATTAGTGTCTAGTCATTTTGGTTTACTTGTTTATCTGTACTCCAATACCATACTGTTTTAATTACTATACTTAATACAGTGTGTGTGTGTGTGTGTGTGTGTGTGTGTGTGTGTGTGTGTGTAAAGCCTTTCTGAACATTCTTTTTAAAATTCTTTCCCATTTGGAATACTAACATCTTTAAAATCTTTCCCTGTGATTAAGGGTACATCTGTTTCTCCTTATGGACCTATCAGTTTTTATAACTTGCTTACTCAACAATTTTCTTTCTTGGGGTATTGGGGATGTATTGGTTTGCTTTGTTATGGATATTGCTATTTTCTTAGTGAATTCTAAGAGCTCATGAGATATTTACCCTTTATTAAAAGGGGTAATCGTTTTAGAAATTTTTACCTTTCAGTTTTCCTGTGCTTTTTGGTGTACAAAATGAACGTGGCCATCTTCTATTTTCTGCCTTTTGAGTACAATTTAAGGGCTTTCCTCATCCCAAATTTATATAAATATTCCTGCTTTCAAATATATTTGTCCTGTAGTTTTTCCTTTAAGTCATTAATCCATTTTGAATTGCCTCTGCTTTAGGGTGTATCTTCTTAGCTTTCTTTTATGAGCAATTACATTTTTACTTGATCAAGATTTGATTTTAAATTGGAAGTGATGGTGCATGGCTATAATCCCAATAGTCTTGAAAGACTAATGCAAGAGAATCAAAAGTGCATTCCCAGCCTGGCAAACTTAGTGCTACACTGTCTCAAAATAAAAACATTTAAAGAAAGCTGGGATGATGTTCAGGGTAAATACCTTGGTTCATTCCCTACTACAATGTAAAATCTGAAACTATAGCCATAAATTTTTCATACTCTACTACATTAAAATCTTATCAATCACTTGGAAAATACTAATTCACTAAGTTAAACAGCTATTTCTAAAGCTGATACTTTACATTGTGTAATTTTTTTTTTTCCCCCCAGAACCAGGGATAGAACTCAGGCCCCTGCACTTGCCAGGCAAGCGCTTATTCTACTGAGCTATCTCCCCAGCCCCTGTGTAATATTTTTTAAATTACAACTTTTTTCTTAAGATCAGTATGAAATACTGACTATGAAATGTCTTTACATTTTAAGAACCTGTCAAGCTTTCTCTGGTAGTTTTTCCATAACTCATAATTTCTGTGTGAAAGCTCAAATGTTATCAAATACTGTAATTTGTTTTCCTTGAAGTAATAGGTTCACTTTATTCATTTTGGGCCAGATACTCAAGTTGGATAACATGGTTTGTCAGTTTTTTCAACTAAAAATCATGATCCTTAAGAAAAGCAGTTTAGTTCACAATTCAATCACACAAATGTTTTTTCCTCACAACAGTTATTATAGTTTGGTAAAAACTCTTGCTTTTTGAAAATTTCTTATTTTACCAACCCAGAGTTTTAAAAAGGCATGTACTCAGGGAATGAAACTCAGTGAACTAATGTTTATTGCTTCCTTTACATTTTAAAAGGAAACTGGCTCTGTATGTCTGTATACATATCTATATCTATGTGGTAGAAAAGAGTATGTTTGATGTCATTGTTTTTCATTCCTGTTAAATTGTAAGCAATGTACCATCACTGCTTTTGCAACATCAGTGTAAATATGAAGACAGTATAAAAGACAAATAATATCTAAGTATTGTTTTGAAAGCAGTGTTACAGCCTTTATTGGGTCCACAGACTATACTTTAAGATCTCTGTTTCTACTTCCCAATATTGGTTTATATTTTACTTAACAAATGCTTACATAGCACTTATGCTGTGTCAGTGTTTAGTGGCATAATAAATACTCCAATACTCATTAAAATAAGTTTTGTTATCATTCCTTACAAGGTAAATACTGTTATTGCCCCATCGTATGAATGAGGAAACTGAATAAAGATACTAAATTACTTGCCTAAGATCATACAGCTACTGAGTGGCAGAGGAGATATTCAAATTCATGTGTTTTAATTCCAGAGTCCATATTCTTATTCACCAAGCTTCTTTTGAATGTCCTCCTTACTCTGGGCTTTGTATACATATCATCCCGTCTATTTGGAATGTTCATGTCAGTGCTTTTGTGCACTAGAATACTAAACTCACCTCAACCCCAACTCAGCTTTCATTCAACTAAGTGACTTTTTCAGGGAAAACTCTTCCTTTTATTACCCTCTTTTATGGTTTTTCTTTTTTTTTTTTTTTTTTTTTTTGTAATTTAGTAGGGTCTATAGGGCCTTACTATGTAGACTGGACTCATAGTGATGCTCCTGTTTTCAGAACCGGGAATTGAACTCAGGGCCTTGCACTTGCCAGGCAAGTGCTTATTCTACTGAGCTATCTCCCCAGCCCCTCCTTTGTCTTTTATTTCTCAATACTTTCAGTAAATCCAATTTGATACTTACTTATCAGTGTTAAAACTCTCTGTGAATGTTAAACACTCTCTCTCTCTCTCTCTCTTTCTCTCTCTCTCTCCTCCCCCCTCCCTCCCTCCCTCTCTCTGTATAGAGGAATTTTTTTGTTTTACCCAAGAAACTAGCATTAAAGCCTAATACATATTATAGGTATTTGCTGAATAAAAGAGAGAGGTATGTCAATGCAGAAATAATTGAACAAAATTTATTTGTGTTTAAGGAATGAAAGATCTAACTTAATTTTCTTATAAATGTTTAGTTTCAGGGCAGCATTTTGTTGGAAACACATCTTTTGTTCAGTGACTGAAGTGTGGTCTTCCTATTCTTATGTGTACTATAAGAATATAGTTTAATTCTGAATTTCCTCTTCTGTTTCAGTGATGTATTTATTCTCTTGAACCACAGTTTAAATTATTTCATCTATATAAAATAGTATTGTATTGGATACAAAATTCCTGTGTTTATATTAGACATAAAGAGGCTTAGCTCCTATTTCTGACCTTATCTCTGTTCTGACATTTCTGTAAAATGATCCTTCTTACTAGTTTTTCATTATACCTTACATTTTAGAAAAATACTTAATATATCCTAGAGATCATAGCAATATAAGGAGATAGTTAAAGTTATGTACAGCTCAATTTGTTGTATTCATTATAGTTTACTCAGTCTTTTCTCTATATTACATATTTGAAACATTGTCAGGTCATTGGTTGTCTTAATTGATAGTGCAGTGAATTTATCTCTCTCTCTCTCATTTATCATTTCATATATTTATCATTTTATATATTTGTTGTGTCTTGGGTAAATCATAGGAGATTTTTAATAGAAACATTATAAAAACATTGTTAGGAAATTATACTGGCAGTGGAATTATGTCTAATGTCTAATTATGTCTAATACAATTAAAAGACTATAAACTTAGAAATCATAACTGTTATAAAGATGCTAACTTCCTTAATATTTACTATAGTAGGTATTCCATAAAAAGTTTTTTCTTGTTATGATACAGTATATTCATTGTCTTATTAATTGATACATTGTTTAATTAACATTCCTCTTTCTCCTACATTCCTTTGTCTTTTTCCTCTTCGGACACGCCTGCATAAGCTGTACTCATTTTCTCTGCATACATGATTTGTTTTCTCCATTTCCTTCTTTTGGAAATAATGTAATAAGAATCAGACCCATTTATTCTTTGAGAATATGCTTTTCACCTTCATTAACTCTTATCTGTTGCAGAACCTTTTTGTTGAGCGTAGATGAATAAAGGTAATTTATATTTCCAATGTTTTTCAGACATAGAGATTATACCGGAGCACAAAGATTCAACTTCAGTGCACGATTTTTCCAAAGATGAATCATGTCAGGATGTCATAATGGAAAGGCTAACAAGAAATAGAATGTATGACTCCACCTTAGAAAAAACTCTTGACCGTGAAAATTGGTTAGACAGCCATCAAGTAACTCAGGAGAGACCCTTGAGAGAAGTGTTCACCCACATGAACTCACTTGCTGAGGCAAGAAATCATGAGCATGATACATATTGGAAAAACTTCAGTCAAAAGTCTGTCCTTATCACTCAAGACAGAGTTCCCAGAGGATCCTATGCATTTCATACACTGGGTAAAAGACTGAAGCAAAGGTCAAGCTTAATGAAAAAGCAGAGAACCTATAAAGAGAAAAAACCTCATAAATGTAATGATTGTGGTGAACTCTTCACTTACCATTCAGTGCTTATTCGACACCAGAGAGTCCATACTGGAGAGAAACCCTATACCTGCAATGAATGTGGAAAATGTTTTAGCCACAGAGCTAATTTAACTAAACACCAGAGAACTCATAATAGAGTTCTATTTGAGTGTAGTGAATGCAAGAAAACCTTTACAGAAAGCTCATCCCTTGCAGTACATCAGAGAATTCACATTGGAGAAAGACCTTATGAATGCAGTGAATGTGGGAAAGGTTTTAATCGAAGTACACATCTTGTGCAGCATCAGTTGATTCATACTGGAGTAAAGCCTTATGAGTGTAATGAATGTGATAAAGCTTTCATTCATTCATCAGCACTTATTAAACATCAAAGAACTCATACTGGAGAGAAACCTTATAAATGTCTAGAATGTGGGAAAGCTTTTAGTCATTGTTCATCCCTTACTAAGCATCAGAGAGTTCATACTGGAGAAAAGCCATATGAGTGTAGTGAGTGTGGGAAAACTTTTAGTCAGAGCACACACCTTGTTCAGCATCAGAGAATTCATACTGGTGAAAAGCCCTATGAGTGCAGTGAATGTGGGAAAACTTTTAGCCGGAGTTCAAATTTTGCTAAACATCAAAGAATTCATATTGGAAAGAAACCATACAAATGCAATGAATGTGAAAAAGCCTTCATTCATTCATCAGCTCTTATTCAGCACCAGAGAACTCATACTGGAGAGAAACCTTTTAGATGTAATGATTGTGGGAAAAGTTTTAAATGCAGTTCATCCCTCATCAGACATCAAAAAATTCACACTGAAGAGCAGCCCTGAAAAGTTACTGAGTGTGAAGAGATGTAAGTTGGCTTTAATCACTGTTAAATACCTGAGTCTTTAAGTAAAAAACCTGTAATGTGCATCTAATTTTACTTAACCTAGCTTGTAATTTTGTCTTAGGTAAGATGTATTTTATGTCTGTTTATTGGATAATTATAAAAAAATCTAGCTACAAATCTTAAAATGCTAATTCTCAACCTACCAAATGCCCACTTAAGGGAATTCAGGAAGTCCCAGGGAAAGATACAGACATTGTAAAGTCCAATTTCATCAGCTCCCCCTTCACTTATTTGTACGAGAGTCCCATTTTAGCTTTTCTTTTGGAAGGAAATGATGCTGTAGGTTTGCGTG